TAGTCTGTGTGCACCATTCTGGGTACAAGTGCACCACACTGCTAAATGTGTTTTGTGTTTGAGAATGTGTTTAGAGTTTTAGTAAATGGGAGATTCAGATTTGCAAATTGTGTCCTAACCAGGTGAATAGTGTTTAAGATTTTGACAACTGTGGGATTGATTTGATGAAAGAGTTTTGGTAGTTGACAGTTTAGTTTTTACAATAGGATTTAGTGTTTTAGCAATTCAGAAAAACTATAATAAATAAAATTACTGATAAAAATATTTTTTCAACTAATTATTATTCTTTAAAAAATGATTATTAAAACACCACATACAATTAGATTTAGATGCAATAATGGCACTCAGCCTTGTTCAGGGTCTTATTAAATAGGCCACGACTCTCTCTCCCCCTGGATCTATCTCTGAGAGAAGTGCACCCACCCCTTGCCTGCTCGCATTTGTACCCAGCAAGAACGGTAAATTGGGGTCTGGTGATGCAAAAACAAGCATGCTGGTGAGAACCTCCTGAAGATATCAGATGGCCTTATCCTCCCTAGTGCCTTCCACAGGGACTGGACTGTCCCCTGGAAAGTGTCACCATGCACCAGGACATTGTCCAACAACATCCTTTCTATTAAGCACTCAATTGTGGCTGGAGCATTACAGAGACCAAAAGCCAAGACGTTAAACTACAGTACCAAGCCCTCTACCCATACAAAAAACAGTTTTCAGCCTGACTTTGGGGGACAGTGGGACCTGCCAATACCCACTGTGCAGGTAAAAGGAGGAGAACTAGGAAGATCCCACTACCATATCCAAACACTGATACACCTGAGGTAAGGGGTAAGAGCCCTTCCTGGTGACCTCGTTCAGCCACTTAAAATGTATGCCACCCTTTTTTGGCACGAGACTCACTGGTGACACCCATCTGCTACCCTGGCCCACAGCATATCCTACAACACACAATTCACTGCTTTTTGCCTGGCTATGGGTAGGTGCTGTTGGCGCTACCAGATGGGCGTGGCGTCCCTGGTGGACAAGGTGGGTCTGGCCTATAGCATCCTCACTGCAGGTGAAGACATCCTGGAACTCACTCAGCAGCTGCCACAGCTGCTCTTGCTGCTGTGCATCCAGGTCGCACATAGTCCTCTGCCAGATGTCCCTCAGGATTTAGATCTCGCCCTGCACATTCACCATCTGACCTGTGGATGCCCCTTCTACTGAGGCCGCGTGATTCTGCTGGCTCCCGGCGGGCACAGAGGTTCTCATTGATACTGTAGGGCTCACAACATGCAACCATATACATGAAACTCAGCTGGGGGACACAACATTACATAGTGTTGAATAACCATTAAATGGTGTTGAATTTCAATACTGTTTTGGTATGGTGCACAGCCAGTGCCTGTGTTAAATTAAAACTGCATGGTGTTTATGTGGGTCCACACCATTCAGTGTTACCTTTAACACTTTACAGTGTGCAGTGAGTGTTGTTTTTACATTGTTAATATTTATTAACTCTTATAGTGTTACAAAGTGTCTCCACCTCTTCCCAAATTGCAAGCCCATATGGGTGGCACACAAGTACAAAATGGGTGGCCCATATCTGCCCCATTTTAATGTACTCTCTTTTGAACTCATTTGGGCATTCAGCTGCTGTGTTTTACTAACCCACCATAATAAGAAATTATTATGTAACAATGTCAATGGACCCCCTCTCCCTAGGGGAATGCACAGGTACTTTGTGCCATAGCCTTTTCGCTTTTTATGCAAGTTTTGTTTCAGCTTAGCTTCTAATAACCAAAGAACTGTGCTCATGTAAATTGGAAAATTTTGAAAAACTGTCATTATAAATGTATTTATTTAGGCATGAATACGATTTCATTTTTAGGTTTTTTCAATCAGGATAAAAAAGAATCAGTCAAGCTCCTCTGAGAACTGTCTGTGGTATAAACGTGAGTGAAATGTATGGCACCAATCACCAAACACAGATTTTGAAACTAGGTTTTGTTAGACTGCATAACATAATTATTTAGCAGGGCTGAGAAAAGGTGAGAGCTATCTTAATGGTTGAAGGAGTGTATTTCCACTAAAGCAGATATAATGGGTGGTAGCCTTATTGCTTTTAGACCTCAACTTGGGATAGAAGAACAAATCAAATCACTTCGCTCATTTAATATTCAGATTTTCATTAAGCTTCATTTTTAGAAACCCACCACGGTCGAGGATGGTATGGCACTGATATTAGTCTTCACCACATTTTATTGCTGTTTTTGGGTGCCTTTGTTGGTGTATACTAATTGGTCTGAGTAGTGTAGTGTGACAGACAGCCGGGCAGGCCCAAGCTTATAGTAAGGGTCTACTGGGATTGTCTGGTGGAATCTCCTGTCAGAAGAAGTTTCAACTCCTATTTCCAGCAGAACTTCTTCCATGTCGTGGGGGACATTGGGCCATGTTCCACGCCTCTATTTTGGAGACAGCTGACCGTCGTTATGGTCGGTGCCTGTCATGGCAGCAATCCCCAAACCCGCTGGTGGACACCATTGGTGAGAGATGCTGTCAAGCTTAAGAAGGAGTCCTATTGGGCCTTTATAGCCTGTGGGACTCCAGAGGCAGCTGACAGGTACTGGCAGGCAAAACTTGGGTATGGGAGGAGTTCGGCGAGGCCATGGAATATAACTTCCGGATAGCTTCGAGGGGATTCTGGTCCACCATCCGGCGGCTCCGGGGGGGAAAGCGGTGCAACATCAACACTGTTTATGGTGGGGATGAGGTGCTGCTGACCTCAACTTGGGACGTTTTGGGTCGGTGGAAGGAGTACTTCGAAGACCTCCTCAATCCCACTAACAAGCCTTCCAATGTGGAAGCAGTGTATGGGGACTTGGGTGTGGGGCGGAGGTCGCTGAGGTGGTTAAAAAGCTCCTCGGTCGCCGAGCCCCAGGGGTGGATGAGATCTGCCTGGAGTTCCTTAAGGCTCTGGATGCTGTGGGGCTGTCCTGGTTGACACGCATCTGCAGCATCGCGTGGACATCGGGGGCAGTGCCTCTGGACTGGCAGACCGGGGTGGTGGTCCCCCTCTTTAAGAAGGGGGACCAGAGGGTGTGCTCCAACTATAGGGGGATCACACTCCTAAGCCTCCCTGGTAAGGTCTACTCGGGGGTTCTGGAGAGTAGGTTCCGTCGGATTGTCGAACCTCGGATTCAGGAGGAGCAGTGTGGTTTCCGCAGCCAAGTGTGAAGCGGCTG